GTGCCACACTGCCCTGGGACCGGGCGACCCCAGAATTAGGCTAGCCTTACCCTGGCATGCGGGGCTCTGCTGGGGGGGACAAACCTTTCCCTCGCTATTCGTGGGAACGCAATGGATAATCATAAAAATAATTTAATTAACCAAAATGGCGGCGATGTGGTTCGCCACCCATCACGTCTCGTTTCTCGCGGGGGCGAAAAGTGGCCCACGGAGAGCCGCTTCGCTACGTTGAATGTAAGAGGAGGAATGGATGGTAAGGTAGATGAAGTATGTCAGATGATGGATGAACGTTGCATTGATATTCTGTGCGTGAACGAAACCAAGAGGAAAGGATGTGACACCACGGTTCATGGCCCCTACACGGCATACTGGTCGGGAGTCCCCCAAACCAGCCGAGGCTGTCAGGGAGTTGGTGTGATTCTTTCATCTCGAATGGTTGAATGTGTGATGGAGCATGAATGTATAAGCCCAAGACTCCTCTGGATTAGGTTAAAAGTCGGACTCACTCGCTTATTTATCCTTGGGGTCTATGCACCAACGGATCTGTGTGGAGGTGGGTCATTAAAAACACAACAAGAGAGAGAGGAATTTTGGGATAGCATGAGAGAGGTCTTGAATAAATGCGGAGAAAATGAACGGATCGTGATGTTAGGGGACTTTAATGGATGGGTTGGAGTAAAGCGTGATGGGTATGAAGGAGTTCTGGGTACGTTTGGGGACGAGAGAGTGAATGACAATGGGAGAAGCCTGCTTGAAGTATGCTTGGAATGGAATCTGTGCGTGGCCAACACAATGTTTGACCACAAAAAGATCCATTTATATACAAGAGATGAGGGTGAGTCTAGAAGTATGATTGATTTTGTAATTGTGGATGAAAGACTGAGGAAGAAAGTGCTAGACACTCGGGCATACCGCGGTGTAGGCCTCGACACAGACCACTTCCTGGTCATAGCCCGAATGCGTGGCCTCTTTAAACGGTGGCGACACCGAGTGGCCGAGCCTACGAGTGTTTTGGACAGAGTAAAAGTGGAAAATCTACAAGAAAAAGAAAAGAAAGACGAGTATGTAGAGAAACTGAAAGAAAGTTTTAAAGAGATAGAAGAGATAGGAGTGATTGAAGATTTGTGGGAGACATTTAAGAAAGGGGTCGTAAATGTTGCTATTGAGGTATGCGGGGTAGCTAAAAGAAGGAAAGGAAGAAAGAATGATAACGTGTGGATGGATAAAGATGTACAAAAGGTTGTGCAAGAAAAGAAAAAAGCGTGGTTGGATTGGTTAGCAACAAAAGCTAACCAAAAAGTTCAAAAGGCAACGGATGACGAGATAAAGGAAGCAAGAACGAAGTATAAAAGATTGAAAACAGCAGCGAAAGAAATTGTGTCTAGAAAGAAAGAAGAACGAAAGAATGATTTCGATAGGAGGCTCACTGAAGATTTCCAGTCAAACATTAAGTTTTTCTGGAAAACCATCAAAACAGCCAGAGGAAAAACTTCTACCTCTGAGCTGAGTACAATCAGGAGTCAAGATGGGAGCATTATAAAAGGAGAAGAATGTGTGTTAAAGAGATGGAAAGAGTATTTTGAAAGTTTGTTTGAAAGAGAGGAAGTGCAGGTACAGCATCTGCCACCTTCCACGGAAACAAATATAAATGTTGATGAAAATGAGATAAGCATGGATGAAATAGTGAAAGCGTTGAAAAGTATGAGATTAGGTAAGGCTGCAGGGTATGACAGGATTACCGTCGAGATGCTGAGGGCTGGACAGGGCCTGGTAGCTAGTCAGCTGTACCGCCTTTTCAACCTGTGCTGGCGAAATGGGCAAGTACCGGGAGACTGGTGCAAAGCCGTAATCGTGCCATTGTATAAGGGAAAAGGGTCACGGCAGGACTGCATAAATTACCGCGGTATAAGCCTTCTCAGCGTCGTCGGTAAATTGTATGCGAAAGTGTTGATTGAAAGGATTGTGAAAGAAACAGACAAGAAAGTATGGGATGCACAAGCGGGATTTAGAAAGGGAATGGGATGTACGGATCAGGTCTTTTCTTTGCGGTGCATAGCCGAAAAGTATTTGGCTAAAAACAAGAAAGTCTACTGCGCGTTCGTAGATCTAGAAAAGGCCTATGATAGAGTGGTGAGGAATGAATTGTGGTCAGCACTGTCCGTGAACGGTGTGAGCAGTATCCTCATACGAGCAATGCAATCTCTTTATAGGGATTCTAGTGCTTGTGTAAGGATAAACGGGGCATACACTGAATGGTTTAATATCGAAAAAGGTGTTAGACAGGGATGTGTAGCGTCACCGTGGCTGTTTAATCTGTTCATGGACAATTGTTTGACAGATTTAAAAGAGAATGAAAGTGGGTTGAGAATGAATGAGTTACTCGTCAAATGTTTTCTCTATGCTGATGACCAAGTATTACTTGCGTCTTCGGCCGAGGAGTTGCAGGAGATGGTAACTGCTATGAGTGGAGCTTTTGTTAGAAAGGGAATGAAGATGAATGTAAGGAAGACGAAAGTGATGGTGTTTGAAAAAGATGAAGCAGTGACAGACTGCAACATTGTGATTGAAGATGAACAAATTGAACAGGTGAAAGAGTTTGTGTATCTGGGTTCAAAGTTTACAAGAGATGGAAAGTGTGAGAGTGATATCGAAAGAAGAGTGAATGCAGGAAACATGGTGAATGGAGCTTTGCACTCCTTTATGAGCAGTCGGAAGGTGTCTAACAAGGCTCGTTTGGCTGTGCATGAGGGGGTGTTGGTTCCGACACTCATGTACGGAAGTGAAACTTGGGTATGGCAGAAGAAACATGAAAGCAGAATAAATGCAGTTGAGATGAGAGCATTAAGAAGTATGATAGGAGTTAAACTGAGTGACAGGCTAAGAAATAGTGAGATAAGGAAACGTTGTGGTCTGAAAGAAGATGTAGTGACAAAAATTGAGAAAGGTATGCTGAGATGGTTTGGCCATGTCGAGAGAATGAATGAAGAACGATTGACGAAAAAGGTGTATAAGGCGAGTGTGAATGAAAGTGTTGGAAGGGGTAGACCTAGGCGGACATTTCTAGACCAAATCAGGGACGTCTTGAAAAAAGGCCAGGTCAAGAGTACCCTAAACCGTAGAGCATGTATGAAGGGAATAATGAAAGTGGACGAAGCAAAACAAGTATGTAAGGATCGTAGCAAGTGGAAAGAACTGGTCTCTGCCTACCCCTACGGGAAAGAGGCGTGATTATATGTATGTATGTTTATGTGGCCACGAACACATTCAATTAAATTTTCTTCGTCTGACATGTCGCGAGCACGGTCGGTTCGTTTGTGACGCTCGAAACGTCCGCGGACGCGTCCCGTGGCCTGTGCACACCGTCCGAGGACGCACAAATATCCAGCCGGCTAGATTCTGTTCGGACGTCTGAACGCTCAAGGACGACCCAAGGGCACGTTCGCGTCTTACGACCGATAGTTTGCACAGTGCACTAGTATTAAATGTACTGGCTAGATTCAAATAAGCTGCGTCTGTCAGCCGCGGCTGACGGACGCGTCCGATAATTTGTTCTCAGCTCTTATTAACATAGTACGGAATTTTAAAGTTAAAAATGACACTAACCAACTTAACCACTAGATGGTTGGTAATATAGCCATCCTACTAACGCAATCCTCATAATCCAAGACAGTATAGTAACTACGTTTTATTAACATGAAAGTTCGTGGGGCGTATTACACTGTGGTAAAAATTCTTTCGATTTTGTTTGTCAATTCAAACCTTAAGTTGAAGACTGAAAGTGCTTTTTATGGCCGAAAATGACCAAAGTTGAGTCCGAAGCAGGGGCGTAGCTACCGCCGTATCAACCGTATCAATGATACGGGGCCCCCGGGCTACAGGGGCACCGAACGTATGTAAGCAAAAATTCTAAGGACTTCTATGGTTTGAATTGTTTGGCTAGCTTAGTTTCTAGGAGTATTAATTGTAAGTTTAACTCTCCCATTGAATTAAATTATTTTAATTCAATGGGAGAGTTTTTATTTCTTTTGTGAAAAATCTTTATCCTTCATTTGGGCCCCCCGACAAATTTTGATACAGGGCCCCTCTAAGGCACGCTACTCCACTGGTCCGAAGCTTCGATCAGAGTCAGACCACAGAATACCAACCAATACCATACCCTTAGGCGGGACAACATACTAATAAGAGGTACTAGTGCAGGCGCGACTCTCTACTGAGAGGACTCTATGCAGCAGACAAAAGGAGGTGATGTGCGATCCCAAAAGCTTTTGTGTTTATCTGTATATAGGTACATAATCATAAATATCATTGACACCTTAAAATACTTTTGACGACCAGTTGCCGTGACTTAAAGTTCAAATTTTTATATATTAGTAGGCTTCGTTTTTACAAAAACTATTATTCGTAGTTAATTTACTTTGCCGAGATAAATAGTTCTATCAAATGAGTTTGTAATTGGAGCTACTTAAAAAAAAGAACAAATCACATTTTTTTTTAATTTTTACCTTATTCGTTGCCGAGCAAATGTTTTGTGATATTAATTATTTTTAATTAAAATAATCAAGAATAATAGGGGGTAATCAAAGAGTATTAAATCACTACGTTTTAGGTGCGCTAACATTTCTTCTACATATTTCCACTTCCTATTAGTTTGTGGTTTTAGGGGTAATATCATAAAGTAATATGAAGTTGGCAATATTAAGTGAAACTTAGAATGTTGGGAGCATTGTTAAAGCTGTATTCTTCCGCTCGTTCATCTCAGTCCCTCTTTGGGTTCATTCCCAAGTCAAGTTCTGTTGTCCCGCTCACACTTGCATCCGTATCCGCGCGTCCTTAATCGTTTCGCTTTCATCCGTCCGTTTCAACGTGTTCTCTTCTCTGTACTTTACAATCAATGCTTTTTTTCTGTGGTGCGGGGTAGTAGTGTGGCGTGGACGAATTTCTAGTCAGGTTAAATTATATTTTTTTAGAAAGTACACCTGGAAAAGGTTGTACGGTTAGAAATGGCGAATGAACTTAAGGAAATTAACGATATTGTAAAAAAATGCAGAATTTTACTTTTGGACATCGAAGGAACAACAACATCGATCAGCTTTGTTAAGGTAGGTCTGAATGATTGACCGGCCGGTGTTTTGTTTCAACATGTGTTTTTTTTTGTTTTAATTAAATATGAACTTATGAAGTTGATTAGTATTGTTTGAAGCAGTCGGATGAATAAATTGCGGTGTAGATTTCGTTGGGTATCTAAAATGGTCGCGTTTTGGGATGCGCAACATGGAGGACGAAATCAAAATGGTACCTCTCCAGAGTATTTTATCTGAATTCTACTTCTTCATAGTGATGAAATATTGCGAAATACTTTATAAGTTTATTTTAATTAATATTTAATTAATAATTATTAATTCTATTCTATTATAATTTTAACGATTCTTAAAATAACATATTTTATTTTTTTATTGCCTTTATCAAGCCAAAAAGATGCATTATCTAAAATAATATTCTTGAAATATTTTTTATTATAAAAAGTGATTTAATTTCATTGCCGGTATAAACAGCTGTTTGAAGCAGCTGGCTGTTAAAAAAATGTGGAACTGTTAACTGTTCTCTATGAAGAGACACTTTGTCGCTTATAGCTATCTCTGTCTTACTCGTGTCACATTTGTGAAATCATGATAGAGATGAATAATGAAGACGATGTGTGTCGTTCACTGCATTGATAATTTTATAAAGAATGCTGTAGTAGAGTCGAACATACCTCTCGTACTACACGAACTTATTTACTTTTTAACCGACTTCGAAAAGAAGTGATTTGTCGCGTGCACCCATTTCTCCGAAACGGCTCTACCGATTTAAATAATTCTTTCTCAATTAAATAGGCTGTATTCTCAAGGGCCAATTAAAATGCAACTACAATTTAACTTTGAAGAGGAACTTCCACCCCTAATGGGGCAAAAATTGGGAATAAAGTTTTTATTGTAATTGTTTTTACTACTATTCTATTTATCTCGCGTTTGTGATATTGCTTAGTCCACTGAAAAGAGTAAAAAATCAAACATTTATTTAAAAGTAAAAATCAATTTCAAAGGCTACAAATAATAAAATTTCCATATAGTAGCTTATGGGGTTAGAGCTTTAATTCTTTGATACATTATGTCTTAGCATTGACATGAGAAGCTATTTTTTTTTATAGAATAAGGGTGACAAATGAGCGTAATAGTCCACCTGGTAGTAAGTGGATGCTGTAGCCCATAGACATCTACATTTGTGTTTTCACCCCCTGAGGACTGAGAAGGGATGCCTCATATCCAGTACAAAAGGTCTTCGGTTCTCTACACTCACCATACGAAACACTGTATTTTATGTTGGTATTCTGATAGTCGAGCCAACCCATTTATGCTACAATCATTATATAGCTGCAGCGTGGTTCTACCGCGTGAAGAATATATTATTTCTTTCTTCATTCTTTGTGTAAGTGAGTTATTATTTTTATTGAAAGTTTTATTTTGACATTGTCAGTCAAAACAGTATATTATTATGTATTTGATATTCAATAGTGTAATTAATAAATATTAGTGTAAAATAGTACAGTCAATCGGGGTAACATTGACAGATCATCACTATATTTTTTTAGTTAACTTTTACTACGTTAAATATGAGACAAAAGAGTTTACTTAATCTTTGCTCTCAGGTTGGTTTTCATACTCTCAAGATATTTAAAGTATATAAAAGTCATAAAATATATCAAAAACTGGCAATTTTGTTCTGTGTCAAAGTTATAACCCCTATATGGATAACTTTGCCACTTTGAAACTTTTGGTTATTCTTGCAATTAAATTCATTGAACTTATTTATAACTAGATTTTGACCGTAATATTTTCACTATAAGACATGAAAAAAGAACCTACAGATCTGTAATAGTGATCTTTGGGCAAGTAATTCAATTATCAATTTTGCTATTATCTCGAAAACCTGGTTCGTGGGAAAGTTTTGTTCTATAATTTTGTATCTCTTATAGTTTTTATGTGAGATAATCATCAAAAACTATTTATTTTATTACATTTTCGATTTTATAAAAAAAATCTTACATGCGTTTTGGATAAAATATAGTAGGATTACTCCTGGCATTGCTCTCTATTTGTTTTTGGCCTGGACTCTGGAGAGCCACACTGGCATATATACAAAAGTTTTAAAAATTGTTTAGTACACAAATAACCCATGAGTTTTAATAGAGGACAGTTATTTCGGTATTACAGGCAGACATTTCAATTTTATTAATATAATTAATAGATATAGATTTTATGATTTTTTATTTTTGATACCATTGAACGCAAATAAAGCACAGGATTCAGAGTAATATTTTTTGACTTATATTTCATTTCCTGTCAATGCCAGTGGAGCGCCATAGGCAAGATAATGAAAAAGAAATTGGATATTTTTAACAGTGTCCATGTCCGCAAAAAAGAGAATACCTAGGTAAACAATCGAAATGTTCTTATATGATTCACGGGTCAATGAAAGGCTTAATATGTGAAAACTGAATAAACTTTCCGCATATTTGTTTTGCGGGTCTCCTATGTCCTTGACATTACGTTTTTCCGATCTATAATCTAATTCGATATATATAAATTGCCGTGCGGTGGGGGCGTAGGAAAATCCATCACTCTTTATTTCGTTTTGTGGGTGCGGTACAATATGTGAAATGCCAGAAAAATCTTATGGTGGCATAGCCATCTTGTTTACATCAGATGTACATCTAGCTAGGGGCAGCAGCGTCCAAGGTGAGAGACTTGTAAGTACTTGGATCGTCAATCCGCTTGCCAAGCGTGACGCGTGCGTGAGGTCCTTGACCAGCTGTGGAATCTTTCGAACGGATGAAAAAGATGTTATCAAAAAGCGTTATATTGATCGCGGGAAGGGAGTGGCAAGTGGGTATTTCGTGTTTGTACGATTTACGTCATCCTAATATGTGTATACTGCGCAGTTGAATTCTACAATGGCATTCACATTACGATAGCCGTTTGCAGTTATATTTAAACCAAAGATGTTTTATAGGTCCAGATACCGTGTTGCTAACACACCGCAACGTTCATAGTGAAGAAAGTCTTTGATTCATGTGTGCGTGAGTACCACGTGACGCGCATATCTTACGCACCATGGCTGCATTAATGTGCGGGACTTCGGTAATAACAGCGCGAATCGATTACCCAAAAAATGTGGGAGATTTTATATTTCATTCCTATTGACGTACCTATTGATTCTAAGAGTATAAAATGTGTGTGCGTGGTGTGTGCATTTGTGTGTGTGTGTGTGTATTTGTGTGTGTGTGTGTGTGTGTGTGTGTGTGTGTGTGTGTGTGTGTGTGTGTGTGTATTTGTGTGTGTGTGTGTGTGTGCGTGTGTGTATTTGTGTGTGTGTGTGTGTGTGTGTGTGTGCGTGTGTGTATTTGTGTGTGTGTGTGTGTGTGTGTGTGTATTTGTGTGTGTGTGTGTGTATTTGTGTGTGTGTGTGTGGGGGGGGGGATATGGTTGCTTATGTGTGTTTTATGTAGGTAGGAACATCGCACTAAAATATTGAAGATATGTAATAAAACCTATAATTAATGTAAAAATAAATAAAAAAGCACAGTAGATATTTATATATGTAACATATATTTATAATCTATTATTACTAAATATATACAGAGTACTACACTTTTGTACTGTAGAACACAAAATACTGTCGCTTTTTACGAAGACATTAAATTATTTTTCCATCCTAAGTAAAATGACGAAAAAAAGTAAGTTTGGTTAAGCGTAAACTTCAGCCAAGAGATAGCAAAATGTTTAATTTTTTTAAATTGCTCCGTTCCGTTGCTGCGTGAAGGAAGGACAAAAACAAATAAACAAAATAATCACACTTTCACATTTATAATATTATATTAGTATGAATTGTCAAGAATGATAGATAAACTTTTAAAACCGGTTTACAATCGGTTTTTTGAGTGTGGAACTATACCGGTTACACTATAACGGTTCTGAGTGACCAAAAAGGATAGAAGCACAGGAAAGTGCAATTTCATGCTACCAGATGTAGTTCAACCCTAACCCTTAAAACGGTTTAACTCTATAGGTTGGGTAAAATCTGTAAAATTAGACTGTTTAAAACCCCCTATACAGATAACCTTTGTGGTTGATCATGACATTAAAAAATGGTAAAAACATTTCATAGACTAGGCAACACCCGAATATTATTGCGCAGTATTATTACTTATATTGACATTTAGCTTTCGTATTCTTTTACAAAGAAATACACTATAAAATTGTATAGTTACTTATGAAAAGTGATGTTATTATCCTTATCTTTTTTTCAAGAGTAATTTTTAAATGATTTCACAGCACAAACAGTCATTTTGCGAAATTAAAAACACCGGTGCGTGATGTATGTTCACAACGAACGTCGCTGGCGTAATGGCGGAACGATCGAACGAATACGCCAATATTGGCGCCTTTGAAGTGGAAGCGTTTTAGGTGCGCGTACACGGTATCTGGACCTATAAAACATCTTTGATTTAAACATTAACATATGATTTTATTGCATTCTTTTTTTTAAATATACGTTAAAAAGAGCGGAGTTTGATGTAGGTGTAAGAATGCAGAAATACTTTACGATTTCAATATAACAAAATTACTGACCAACCGAAAAAGAAATCACTTTCTGGCACATCTTTCAGTAAGGGAATAGGGACTTGCCGTAGCTCTATAAAATGTCAAAATACGATAATATTTACTACGTCGCAAGTCGAGGATGCAATGACAAATTGTTGGTTTTCTGGTCTTGGGTTTGTGCAGTAGTTGTTTACGTGCCTTTAACATTGAATCGGTATTCCCTTATCTTAGTGCGTATTATTGTAGCACTATCTTTCACGACAGTATTCGAAAGTTATTGTCGAAGTTGAAAGTCGGCCGGGAAAAAATCACATTATAAATAAATAAAAAACACTTCATAAAAAAACACTAGAAATGATTGCTTCCGAGGTTCATGTCTCTTAAAAATACGAGCACGCAATCGCGGGCGAGGGAAGCAAGCGGAAGAAACGGTTTTCAAATTCAGTTGGAAAAATAAT